GGGGGCGGGCCGGGGGGTCCCCTCCCCCCCCCCCCGACAGCCTGTAGGCTGTCTGGGGAGGGGCCAGGCTCTGGGGGCTGTCCCCACCTCCAGCGGCTCTCTCCTCCCACGTTATAGGAAACAGTCCCATTACTGGCACTTCACATTTTTCAAGCACAACCCAAACCTGATCTTGGTTTAAGTTATGTTAAGAGGAATCTACATACCAAATTTGGTGGTCCTAGCTCTTACAGTTTAGAAGGATTCCTTGAACAAATGAACAGACACACTCCAATATTTATGGCATATAATATGTGCAAGAGAAAAAAAGAAGACTGCAGGGAAGTTGTGTGTCTCTCCCCCCGCCCCCGCCACCCCAGATCACAATTGTGTTTCTGAATCAGACTCTCCAAATATTTGAATGAGACGCTGTGTAATCTCCCTTCCTGTCAGCACAAATTGGATTTTTCAGGCATAACCTCTTTGGAGCAAGAATGGTCTTTTAACAAGAACGTGTATAGTCCCTAACACAATGAAGCCCAATCGGTAATTGGTGCTCTCATGCTCCACCATAACACAAACAACAAATCCTAGCTAAATACAAGATAGAACATTTTTCACAAAACCATTTCTTTATATCAGACCTCTCAGTCCTCAACCTCAAAGGAAACCTGCACAACACCTTCAGAAGACAAGCTTGGGAGTCGACATTCATAACTTTGTTAGACACTAAAAAAATCATGGACTTAATAAAGGTACTGGATTTATGGCTCATTACAAACCACCAACCCTTCTTTGTCCTAAGACTGGGTCATAACTGCCCACTTTGCTGTGAACAGCACCATATTAACTCCAAATGCTTAATAATCTGCTCCACCTTATATTTAGCTGGGACAGAGTACCTTTCCCAGACCTGAAAAGCTTTGTGTAAGATCAAAAGCTTGTCTCTCACTAGCAGAAGTTGGTCCAATAAAAGATGCTACCTTGCTCACCTTGTCTCCCTAATTAGGTATTTATCAAGTTTGTACTGGATGCTATAAAAATCACCATTCAAAAGGCCTACCTTTCTAATGTCCTCCAAACTCTCACCATTAACCATGCTTGCCACTTTGGGAGCTGTCATTACATCTGCTGCATCCTGTATTGCTGCATTCTTCTGCTCCATCTGCTGCTGTTGCTGTCTCTGTTGATACTTCAGCATCTCTGGATTCTCAATAATGGTAGTGGACAACTGAGCCTCACTCATTATTGCTAAGCTTTTACCATAGGTGGACTGATGAATGTTGCTCTATGGGTGTTAAAAATATGAGAACAAAACCAGATTACAAATGCTAGCAACACATCAGTGATTGTGCTATAAAGAATCACATATCTATTAATATCAATATACAAGTACCTTCAGTACAATTTACACAAAGTCCCCCCCACCCGTCACTATTTTTTTAGATATCAACCTCATTAGCTAACTTAACTAGGGTGGCAAAGCTTCCACTGCTAGCAGCACTAAGCGGGAAAATCTAGCTGTTAGCAAAAACACGTTAAAAAGACTTGCACACAAGCTCATAAGAGTAATTTGAAACCATAATTTTGAAATTAGGAAGTCAGTCCTTACTACTTAGGCCAAATGTTTCAAATGTATAATGTAATGTAAGCAAATGGATATTTGCCAAGACAATTTCTGCTCTGGAAAGGATACTTAATACCGCAGGTTGTTTCTGAACTTGATGGATCTTACAAAATAACTCCCTGGTTTTGGAAAGCAAACAAGTTCACATTTTTCTATAATATGAAAATCAGTCAACTAAAAAATTCTATGAACAGTTTTGAGCATACTACTTTAATGAAAAAAGAATGGATGATCACTTGTATCCTGAGAGTACCTTCTCCTCCTCACTAAGGGGATCTCCAAGTTCATCCTGGGAAAAGTCCAAAAAAGCCACTGATCCATCCATGGAACACACCAAGATCCCAAGTCCGTTTAAGGTCCTGAAAGACAAGTAAAGAGCTTGGTTTATAAACCATGAGTTTTAAAAAGTTGGCTGCATTTATTTAATCTACACACGTTTCACTGTAAAACAAATGGTTAGCATAGGCTTTATTACACCCAGCAACTACTGAAGTAATCAAAAAAGTGGGACAACATGGAATATTCAAGAGACTATGTTTGATAACCAGTGACTACATATATGAATGTGCAGAGCCCTGCACGGATACAAAAATTTGTATCTGCACCCACATCTGTACTCATAAAAATGAGCTGTGGATACCCGCAGCTATAAAGTGGCTACCTGCAAATTTGCAGGGTTCTAGATAAAAAACATGTATCTGCATCTGCAACCATGAGCTGCAGATATCCACATCCATATCCACAGATGCAGATACCCACAGACATAAAACAGATATATGCAGATTTGTAGGGTTCTATGCATGTGCTTTTGAACACAGCGCTCACCCACATTAACTATTAGGACTGTGAAAAACCAAGACTAAAGGAGAAAACTGGAAGAATTTTAAATGTTGAGTACTAAAGGTGAATCACAAAGCAAAAATGCAAATTAATTTGCTACAGAAAATATGTGCTAAAAAATATGCCCACTAATTGGGCTAGGGGCATCGTTCAGCACATAAACAGCTAAAAAGGTTCCCCTTTTAGGCCCTGTCACATTACTGGATTTTAAAGGGAGAAGCCAGATCACTGCTGCACCCATGGGGAGGCGGGGGGTTTTGCCCCAAAGTCTGTACAAAGGGGGCCATGTGAGGTGTAAAATGAAAGCTTGTGTTCTACTGATTCGGTATATGCTACTGATGTACTTGTAGGATATCTGTATCTGGAGTTATAAATATGTACTCTGTGTTGATGCTGGAAGATTCTCTGTCTGAGACAACGGGCAAAGAATGTTCAGCCAGCGACTATGCTAATTAGCAAGGCTCCAGGGACAATGGCTCTCTAGGTGCCAATACACACCTGAGGAATGTGTTTGGGACATGCAAACCAGACAGTATCCGATGACCACTGAAATGGAACACAGGGATAGGTCACTGGACCATGTGACCTGCTCTGGCCAGGAAGATTCCAGGAGAGGTATATAAAGACCATGTGGCAATCTCCATCTTGCCTTCAATTTTGCTACTGATTCCAGATGCAGCCTTGCGAGGAACAGCGAGCCAGGAAGAATCGTTGGCCCATCCTGACATAGGATGTACACCGGAGACTTTTAAGATAGCAGTCTATAACATCTGTGCTAAGAGCCTGTATCGAGAACTGGGTGATTCGATGCATGTAATGTATTCTCCTTAACAACATGACTCTCATGCTTCTCTTTCTTTTATTAATAAACCTTTAGATTTCAGATTCTAAAGCATCAGCCCAGTGTGCTCTTGTGCGTAAGATCCAAAGTGTAAATTGACCAGAGGTTTGTGGCTGGTTCTTTGGGACTGGAAAGACCCGTTCGGGGTAGGTGAGATTGGGTTCTAACACCCTTCACCTGTGTGCAGGCCCGGGCCTGATTGTGGCACAGGGAGAGCTGGAGTGTCAGGGGTTTTGCCTGGTGTGACCGGTTTGTGGCCTGTTTGGGAAGGTCTCCGGTCTGGGACTGTAAGGAGCCCTTGTTTTACACTGAATAGGACTACACCTCCGCTTCAGAGGACGCGAGGATGGGGTCCTACGTGTAAGTTTTGCAAAAAGTGCAAAAGGAGGGACTGAGAAGGAAAATGTATGTTGTTGAAAGGAACAATGTGGAGTGTGCATGCAACTGACTGACCGTGACCTTGCATTGTGCGTGAGAGATAGTGAACCTAATGAAACCAGCCTGATCTAGCTTTTCTGCTTCAAGGATGATACTAACACTCATGTAACTAAGTTTATCTATGCATATTGAGAAAGGGGGCTCCGAGCATTAAGCCAATCATAACGCTGTTACTAGCTTATGTAATGTCTATTCTATTTTGTGTGTAATCATGAATGTATACAAGGTTACTGCGGACATTTGATTTTTGAAGTCTTCCTTTTGAAACTTCCCACAGCTGTGTCTTAATAAAAGTGTTTCTCTCCTTCCAACCCTGAGTCTGGATTTCCGTGACAGTTTAGAAGATAAAATTAAAAAAAAGAAACTAAAAATTACTTAGAATGTTTAGGTGTGTGCAAGTCATCAGGGCCTGATGAAATGCATCCTAGAATATTCAAGAAGTTCAAAAAGGAGGCATCTGAGTCACCTTTGAAAAATCATGGAAGACAGGGGACTAGAAGACTGGAAAAGGGCAAATACAGTGCCTAACTATTAAAAGGGAAATAAGAACAACCCAGGAAACTACAGACCAGTCAGTTTAACTTCTGTGCCATGAAAGATAATGAAGCAAGTAATTCATCTGCAAATATCTGGAAGAAAATAAGGTAACAGCCAGCAAGGATTTGTAAAGAACAAATCACGTCAAACCAATCTGATAGGTTTCTTTGATAGGATAACAAGTCTTGGGGATAAGGGAGAAGTGGTGGACGTGGTATACCCAGACTTTAAGAAAGCATTTGATATGGTCCTGTATGATCTTATCAATAAACTAGGCAAATACAACTTAGAAGGGGCTACAATAAGGTGGGTGCATAACTGGCTGGATAACCAGTCTCAGAGAGTAGTTATTAATGGTTCCCAATCATGCTGGAAGGTCATAACAAGCGAGGTTCTGCAGGAGTCTGTTTTGGGACCGGTTCTGTTCAATATCAGTTGGAGTCTTGTGTCCAGTTCTGGGCACCACATTTCAAGAAAGATGTGGAGAAATTGGAGAAGGTCCAGAGAAAAGCAACAAGAATGATTAAAGGTCTAAAGAACATGAGCTATGGAGGGAAGACAGAAAGAATTGGGTTTATTTAGTTTGGAAAGGAGAAGACTGAGAGGGGACATGATGGAGGATTTCAAGTATCTAAAAGAATGTCACAAGCAGGAGGGAGAAAAATTGTTCTCCTTGGCCTCTAAGGATAGGACAAGAAGCAATGGGCTTAAATTGCAGCAAGGGAAGTTTAGGCATTAGGAAAAACTTCCGACCTGTCAGGTTGGTTAAACACTGGAAGAAGTTGCCTGGGGCGGTTCTGGAATCTCCATCTCTGGAGAT